GGTGACAGGCGTGAGCCACTGCATCCAGTAAAGGCCCTTCAGTTTGTTTCCCCCTGGCCCCCCTGTCCCCCAGTCTTCCTGACCCTTTGAGGGGCGGCTCCTCCCGGGTCGGTCCCATCACACAGAGCGGACGTGTGGGGGCACGCACCCCACACTCCTTTCTGCCTCCTTCTAGAAGTGACTGCAGAGCCACCAGCGGGTCCCCCCCCCCGCTGATCTCATCACCTTCCTGGGACCCCCGCAACTCCAGGGCGGTCCCCAGGGGATATCCTGAGCCCACCCCTCCCTCACCTTCCCCCATAGATCAGGAGGAATGTAATGTTCTAGAAGATTCTTGGGGTAGGGGCATCCAGAAGACTCCCGAACCCTTGGGCCGCACTGCTGCAGCTCCACGCCACGCGTGTCGGGGCCTCGGTGCTACCCTCCCCGTGTGCAGCAAGAAGGACGGAAGGCCGGGACAGCCATGGGTTCAGCCAGCCACCCCATAGACCAGGATCTGTTGCGTTCCGGACACCAAGTTGGGGGCCGTGATCTCCAGCGGGGAGAGGATGCGGGGTGGGGGTGAGGGGGCTCAGATTCAGGGCATCTACACCCTCACCGGTCACCGACTCTGTATGGGGTCATCTGAGAGACACCGGGAGGGCGTGGCGGTCAGGAGACCGGCTGGCCCCGCGATCGGACAGCCAACTGGCCAGCCAGCTGCCGAACTGGCTCTTTTCTAGAATGTACCATGGTGGCCTGGTCCACCCAGCCAAGATTCACATCCAGGTCACACACCCTGGTGAACCTGTGGCGCTTTAGTCAAACATCAGGTTCCCGCCCGGCTTTCTGTCGATAAAAATGAAAAGAAAGAAACAGTCAAAACGAAGAACCTTTCGCACGTAAGACACGTGTGTCAGCGCCTCACGTCTGTGACTGCGATCTGAGGACCACGGTTCAAAGCCAGCGGGGCCAGACAGGTCTGTGAGACTCCTATCTCCAATAAACTACCAAGAAAACACAGAAATGGAGCTGTGGCTCAAGAGGTCGAGCGCCACAAAATCGCAGGGACAGCGTCCAGGCCTGGAGTTCAAGCCCCAAGATTGGCCAATGCATGCACACGTGCGTGTGTGTGTGCACACACACACACAAACCACAAAAACAACATGGTTGGTGTTGTGATACACAGACCTGTGAGCCCTGGCCCTGAGACTCCTCCCATGGAGGCCGAAGCTGTAACACCTGGTGTACAGGTGTGCATGCGTGCACACGTGTGTTGGCTGGTATCAGGAAGATGGCCTCCAGTAAACCACCAAAAAGCTGGAAGTGGAGCTATGGTTCAAGTGGTAGAGCACCCAAGCAGAGGGTGGAGGGATAGCAATTCAATCCTCTTCGGCCAATCCCTAACTTTGCCCCCAGTTTCACCTCCAAATGAAGGATATAACTTTTGTTCCCCCACCCCTTTTTTATTTGATGGTACCAGGGACCAAACTCAGCCTTGCACCTGCTAGGCATGTCCTCTACCGCTTGAGCCACGCCTCCAGCCCTGCTTTGTGTTCATCTCACTTTGTGTCCAGGCCAGTCTGGACTGCGATTCTTTTCCATCCCCCTGATCGCTGACATTACAGGCATGTACTGCCATGCTGTTGTCTCTGGACGTTGCTGGACGTGGAGCCTCATGAGCCTTTCATGCCCGGGCTGGCTTTGAACCTCGGTCTTCTCGTCTCTGAGGAGGGAGGCGTAGCGGCTCCAGGCTAGTGATTCTCATCGCTGCTATTGCCTCTCGCAATCCCATAACCCCATAAATGAAGCTGGTCACCCCGAGGTTGTGAAAATCTCATCTGGCTGGGAGGGACGTGGGCACTGGTCAGCGTGGAAACTCCAGCCCGGGGTGGGGTGCATGACTAAACGGCCGGGTCATCAGCACGTTGGGCTCCGGTGTTGCTCAGGGTGGGCTGGGGAGGTCCTGATGGGGCCTTCCTCCCCCACCTCCCTCCCTCCCGGCCGCCTGGGACCTCAGGCGTGTGCGTGGGTGAATGACCGGCCTGGGTTTCAGCTCACTCACGCAGCGTGGCACAGGCCTGTGTAGTTTCAGCGTGGTGACTCTCCCCGCTCTCTCCTGGTGAAGTTTCACGCTTCACCCACTTAACATGACTTTTGTTTGTTTGGCAGGACCTGGGCCTTGAACTCAGGGCCTGGGCGCTGTCCCTGAGCTCTTTCACTCCAGGTGGGTGCTCTACCACTTGAGCCACAGCTCCCACTTCTGGTTTTCTGGTGGTTCGTCAGAGATATGAGTCTCACAGACTTTCCTACCTGGGTGGGCTTTGAGCAACCATCCTCAGATCTCAGCCTCCTGAGTGGCTGGGATGACAGGCGAGAGCCACGGGCGCCTGGCTTGGTGTTTTTCTTTTAAAAAGTATTTGCACCGTGCACGTGGGCTTTACATATGGCCCGCTGAGTGTGCGTGCGTGCGCATGTGGCGGTATATGCGTGTGAGCATGTGTGTGACTTTGTGCGTGTGTGTCTGCATGCATGCATATGTGTGTGTATTTATGTGTGTGTGAGCGTGTGTGCATGCATGCATATGTGTGTGCATGTGTGTGTGTATTTATGTGTGTGTGTGAGCGTGTGTGCGTGCATGTGTGAGATCTGGGCACTCTCCTCTCGATTCTTCCCCCCTCTCCAGACGCAGGAGATGACCATGGGAGCTTGGGCCCCAAGGCCTCCCTCTGTCCAACCAGAGTTGGCTTGTCTCTGGGCAGGGGCAGCTGTGGGGGAGAGGGGGGGAGAGAGGGAGGGGGAGATGGAGGGGGGAGGGAGGGAGGAAGGGAGAGGG